GAAGTGAGGTAGTCAGAAAAGGACATTGCTATATTCTACGCGACATTTAGCTGGAGGGTAGGTTCGGGTTTGATGGGGGACCGCCGTGGCAGTGGGGGCGAGCAAGTGGCGATTAGCTGAGGAGCCGAGGTGGAAAGCGGGGAGTAAGCGAGGGCCAGCAGATGGGCGAGATAAGTCGGTGGAAGGCAGAGAGAAGTTGGCTGGCTGAATTTGGTAACTGTTCGTTTAAAATATTGCTGATTTGGGCTTGAAGTATTGGTGATCCCTGGCAAAACGCCACTGCCAATTTACCATCGAAACGAATCCCAGAGCAATTGGCCTCACTGGTTGGAACCGAACTTTCGACCTGCTGCACCACACCGACACAGTGCTACACCACTGCGCCATCCCTTCATGCAATGTGCTATATGTTAGCCGTTGAGATGATTTGTGGCAACAGTATATTATTAAATGTCCGGACAGTATATTTTCCTGTGGGCTCCTGAACTACCAGGTCTGAAAGTCCGTTGGTCTACTTTGACCACATCTATGAGAGCTGCCCACTGGTCAATACCCGGGAGAGGGGTGGGGGCACTATTTAATGCTGAAACGCGAAACCCCTATGAGATCGTAAAACATTTGCAGTTCATCCGACTTGTTGCCCTCATCATCCATTTCCCCAGAAACACTTTGGAAAGCGTTTTCTTCGACTTCACTTTATCCGGTAATTGCACCTGTCCAAAGGCCGCTCAGTAATTATCCCTCCCTCCTTCTTCCTCTCTTCTGGAGTACCATCATCGTCTACATCGCTATCAGGCTCAGTCATGCTCATTCGAACTCTGTTGTGCCGGTGACACTCACTTATGGTTTGCGCATCCTCAGCAGGACGAGCTACAAAGATGGCCGCAAAAACCACTTGACAGTTTCACCCTCTTCGATGACCCTATTTGAACGGTCCAATTTTGGTTCGGCCTTCTATGGCCCTTCTCTTCTATTTCGTATTTGCTACGACGAATTTCTCCTGCGCACCACTTGTTTGACAAAATTCCCTGTCCACACGTTCACGTCAAATCCCTCTTTCACATTCCTGCTTCTTCTTGATGATTGTCGGCGACAAGCGCTGCTTTTACCAGCAATCGAGCACGTACTTGTTAAGATTCAGTACCACGTTAGAGATGAAGTCATCCAACTTTTCCTGGATCTGTGCTCCCTTTCTGCTTGCTGGAGCAGGTAACAATGTTTCATCACCTTCGAAGCCTTTAAATCTCGACTGTGCACGCACACTGGCACTTCGTCTGGTTACTGCACGACACGTAGCACGTACGTTCAAATCAGTGAAAGTTTAAGCGAAAAAAGAAATGCGCAGTTCACGTAACACATACGTATAAGTCAGTGAAAGCTTAAAACCAGAAGCAAATTGCCGCACTGATGGCACACCATGTGGTACTACTAAAGAGGGAAGGCGACTCCAGTCCACCGAAGACTGTCCGGAAGAATTAATGTCTGTCCGGAGGAATTAACCACCTATCAAAGGAACAGGCGCACCTGCTGCCACTCAGGTTAGATAGTTTCGCATAAAAGGACTGCATGAGCGGTACTGATCTGAACATAGGCGAATCCAGGACGGACTCCTGGAGAAGGCGACGGGCGGAGGGGAGGGGAGTCCCCTCCCACCCTGGAACTAGGCAAAAACTAGGGATAGAGTTGCAACACACTGCTACGTAGAGTTACTTTAGGCTTTAGTTTACTTTAGTTTTAGCTTTAGGCCTGGGCTTTTGCAACACTGATGTCTGTGCCGCTGGGGAGAGACGAAAGACCCTTGGCCCTCCCCTTTCCCTCTCCCTTCCTCCCTCTGGATCCGCCTGTAGAGCTGAATTTCCATATAACACTTCCTGTTAGAGATTCGGGATGATTATGATTTAGGTCCCGAA